TGTGCAGCTCCTCTGCAGCCACCTGCGCCCCAATGTGCAGCTCCTCTGCACCCAGCTGTGTACTCGGCGTGCACCCTTTGATGTCCCCCCACACGTGTTTGCTCCCCCAGATTCTGGTGGGTGGTCTGGAGTACCCCCTGGGGACCCTGCACATCTACTCGGACAGCGCGCTGACCCTGCCGGCCATCATTGGCATCGGTGCCGGCGGCGGCGTGCTGCTCATCGCCATCATCGCCGTGCTCATCGCCTACAAGCGCAAGACGCGTGACGCCGACCGCACCCTCAAGCTGCTGCAGCTGCAGATGGACAACCTGGAGTCCCGGGTGGCGCTGGAGTGCAAGGAAGGTACGAGGACGTCTGTGGCCGCTAGGTGGCCGTCACTTCCCAATTCCCACTGGATGAGTCCATGTTCACTGCTCAACATCCACATGTATGGTACCAATCAAAAGTCTGGACACACCTTATGAGAATCATATGGTAGCTACCCAAAGCTTATCTCCGTGTAAATATTTTCTTGTGAAAAAGGAAGTGCCGTGCCCCCACAATCCCCCTGAACCCTATAGATCTGGTTTGGGATGAGTTGGATCAATGACTAAGAGCAAAGCGGCCAACTTGTGCCCAGAACTTGTGGAAGGTCCTTCGGGACTGTGGGGGAAGCATTCCAGGTGGCTACATCTGCAAGCTGGTTGAAAGAATGCCAAGGGTCTGCAATGCTGTCATCGAAGCAAAAAACGGCTGTTTTTGAAGAGTCCACAATTTAAGTGAATTTAGAGATGCTCTCTTGCAGATGGTCATTGCGATATTTGGCATGTATTACTTCATTGCCTCTAAGGTGAATAATGTAGCTAAAATAGAGACGAATGCATTAAAAGCTGGTGTGTCCAGACTTTTGACTGCTCCTGTGTGCGAGAGCCCGGCGGGGGCCTCCCTCAGTGGCTCAGTAGCAGCTGGGCCACACGCACCAAAGCTGCTGGTTTTCCTCAGTGCTCATACATAGTTCACTGCGGTGCCTCTGCGGCTTCTATCAGCTGCGCTGTGGGCTGCTGTATTCAGCCACGTCAGCGTTTGCTGTGTGGGAAGCCTGAGCTGAGTAAGTGTCCCATCCCTGTGTGATTACGGGGCCATTCTTTACGGCCCCTTTTACTTAATGAAATGGCTCAGTAACGGGCCCGTGATGGAGAATGAGTGTGCGCGCAGTGAGGCCGTCCCTCTCGCTCGCACAGCCTTCGCCGAGCTGCAGACCGACATCCAGGAACTCACCAACGACATGGATGGGGTGAAGATTCCCTTCCTGGAGTATCGCGCCTACGCGATGAGGGTCATGTTCCCCGGCATCGAGGATCATCCCGTCCTGAAGGAGCTGGACGTAAGACCACCGCACCGGGCTGGTTACGTGGCGCCGCGTTGGTGGTCCGTCGCCAACGGCGACGTACACCTGCAAACGCACCTACCTCCCGAGCCCCTGCAGCTGCTGCGCTTAAAGCCATCCAGTAAAGGGAGTAAATTATACCCTTTTCTGTTTAAAGTTCCCTAAGCTCTCCTGCAGTATACGCCTCTAAGCATGTGAACAAGCTTCTCTCTCTTCTGCCCTCCTCCTTCTTCTTTCTGTCTTTTAATTAAAACCTGAGGTGGAATGAAATCGCAAACCCCATGTGGGCTCAGTGAGCCGCGCGCCTAGAAACTGCCTCACTAGAAATGTTTAGAAAACAGCAGCAGCAGGAAGCTACTCTTAGTTATTCAGCA